CCTCTCGCAATTGCAGAGTCTTCGAGTCCTGAAAATGAACAAATCAAACTCAGAATCCACGAAGACGGAAGTCAAATTCAACCTCTATACATGAAGAGGTCTACTATCTCAACCGTGACGTTTTCCGTCGCCGTCGCCATTACCTTCATCGTCTTCTTCTTCCTCCTTCCGTTTTCAACCACCGCTTTAGGCTCAGGCTCAACTTACGCCGTCGTCTACGGCTTAGACACCGTCTGCGCTTTAATCTCCGGCGAACCTACCCAGCGTATCCTCTGTTACAACACGCGTCTCCGCACAAACTTCACTCTAAATCCCGACGTCTCCTTCTCCTCAATCGCCGCCGGGGATAATTTCCTCTGCGGTATACGCTCCGGTGGATACAGCCTTCTCTGTTGGGACAACATCGGAAGCTACTCTCTGGACCCTAAACGAATCTACCTAAACGACACCGTTTTGCTCGAGAATCTCTCCATCGGCGACACCCAAATCTGCGCCACCGTGAACGGCACAAACACCGTGAAATGCTGGAGAAGTGAGAGAACCGATCAATCGACGCCGATTAACGAAGGATTCCGGTCGATTTCTTCCGGCGTCGGTTTCTCATGCGGCGTATCGATTCGAAATCAACGAGTCTTATGCTGGGGAAGAGATCCGGTTAAATCGGGTCGGATCCAAACCGGATTCGGTAACACGACGATGGTGAGTATATTCGCAGGTGAATCACACGCTTGTGGATTCAATTCTACTGGGAATTTGATTTGCATCGGAAACAATGAATCTGGGCAGCTTAATGTTCCTTCGAATCAACCTAACGAGTATTCGAAGCTCTCTCTCGGATCGAATTTCACTTGCGCCACGAGAAACTCCAACGGTTCTGTGATTTGCTGGGGAGGAGATGCAGAGAGATTCAACAATGTCACTGACCGGATCTCCTTCGAGTCGGTTTCTTCCGGTTTGGAGTTAATCTGCGGTTTGATCTCCGGTAATCTCTCCGTCATGTGCTGGAATCCTTCGAATTTCTCGAGAGTTTTCCTTCCTTTCCCGGAGATTTTACCAGGTCCTTGCGTTGAATCATCATCTCTTTGCCCTTGTGGTGTGTTTCCTCAATCCGATAAGCTCTGTTCCGGTTCTGGTTCGATCTGTAAATCATGCCCGGTTCCGGTTACGAGTCCTCCGGCTCAATTTCTCCTTCCGCCGCCGGCTACTTCGTCTCCTCGGTCGAAAGCTTTAACCGGAGGATTATTAGCGTTTGCGATTGTTGGATCAGTAGGAGCATTTGCAGGGATTTGTAGTGTGGTTTACTGTTTATGGACTGGAGTTTGCTTGGGGAAGAAGAAAGTTCATAACTCTGTTCAACCGACGATAACTCGCGGCGGGTCGAATAGCCGGTCGAACAGCTCGCCGCTTTCTCGGTCCTTAACCATTAGGCGTCAAGGCTCGACGAGGATGCTTTCGATGAGAAGACAAAGAAGCGGAACATCATCGATGAAACACGCCGATAAAGCCGAAGAATTCTCCTTTTCCGAACTCGCTTCCGCCACCGGAAACTTCTCTTTAGAAAACAAAATCGGTTCGGGGAGCTTCGGTGTTGTTTACAGAGGAAAACTCAACGACGGGAGAGAAGTCGCGATAAAACGCGGCGAAGTAAGCGCGAAAATGAAGAAGTTTCAAGAGAAAGAAACCGCGTTTGATTCGGAAATCGCGTTCCTATCGAGGCTTCACCATAAACATTTGGTGAGACTCGTCGGATACTGCGAAGAAAGAGAAGAGAGGCTTCTTGTTTACGATTACATGAAGAACGGCGCGCTCTACGATCATCTACACGACAAGAAAAACGTCGAAAAACATAGTAGTTTGATCAATTCTTGGAAAATGCGGATCAAAATCGCGTTAGACGCGGCTAGAGGAATCGAGTATCTACACAATTACGCGGTTCCACCGATTATTCACAGAGATATCAAGTCATCAAACATACTGCTCGACTCGAATTGGGTCGCTAGAGTTTCGGATTTCGGGTTATCTTTAATGGGTCCAGAGTTAGGGAAAGATCATCATCACCGTCCGACGAAAGCTGCGGGAACGGTCGGATACATTGATCCAGAGTATTACAGTCTCAATGTTTTAACGGACAAGAGTGATGTGTACGGACTAGGAGTTGTGTTGTTAGAACTATTGACTGGTAAAAGAGCGATTTTTAAAAACGGTGGTGATGTTGAAGAAGGTTGTGTTCCGGTGCATTTGGTGGATCACTCGGTCCCGGCGATTATGGCTGATGAATTGGGTCGGATATTGGATCAGAGAGTTGGTTCGCCGGAGTTAGGGGAAGGTGATGCGGTGGAGCTAGTGGCTTATACGGCGATGCATTGTGTGAATTCGGAGGGGAGAAATCGGCCGACTATGACTGATATAGTTGGGAATTTGGAGAGAGCATTGGATTTGTGTGGAGATAGTCATGGGAGTATCTCTAGTGGCATTTGCTCTATTGTCTCTGATAGAGATTAAAATAAAAATTTGACTCTTTTCTTTCTTCTTTTTTACATAGAGATTTTTTTTTTTTTTGAGGATTTCATTTCTTTTCTCATAATTATTTTTTGGTTTTTTTTTCAAGAATTTTTTTTTGTTGTTGTTGTAAATAATGTCGTGTAGCTGTTTAGGAGAAATTGAATATTCAATATTCATGGTCTAACTCTTTTGGTTGAGAAATGTATAATTTGGACAGCGGAAAGCGAATGATTAAAGATTGGATTTTTTAAATTTATTTTTTGTTGTGAAGGAAGATGGGGATTATGATGTTGTTCTTTTGGTCTTTTTGGTCAAAACGTGTTGTTAATTTATTTTGTTGATCACTTTCTAAAAAGTTTTTGAGTTAAATTCGAAGTAGATGTATTATAGTCAAACTGCCGTCCATATGGGTTTTACCTTTTTAAGAACCGGGAGATTTAGGTAGCTTAGAATTGTGTATTTTTGTTAACTCGAACATTTTATGGAAAAAAATTATATAAAAAAAACATTGTATGATAAAGAATGAAAATGAAAAAAACAATGTTTTTCTC